AAACAAATTTGAACCACAAACTAAAAAATAATGTTTTTTTTTTCTTTTCTTTTTTTTCTTAGACAGAATATGGTCATTATTTTTGCAAGAGCACCAATTTAGTTTTTTTTTTTTTTAGAAATGTGAAGACTAAAAGCTTTTGTTTTTTGTTATGGTTCAAAGAAACATGAAGAAGTTTTGGCTTGAAGACTAAACAAAAAAAACTAATTAAAAGCCAAGACTCCCTTCTAGAAAAAAAACTGCCAAGTTGCCCTGTACCATAGAGCAACAGTGGAGAAAAGTTTATTTTATGTTAACATCATTGTTAAACGGTACTCACTGAAAATCAGTCAGAAAGCTTTCTGTGAAACATTTTGGCTGAAGATTGAGACTATGTTCAAGTTGAGACACGGCCCAAACCGGTTCTAAATCTTGCTTTACGCAAACATCCTAAAGAACCAGCAGATCATCTTAATTTGACTCTTGAAGTCGTCACTGCTGTTGGGCCATCGCTTCTCATCAGGAGCCGTTTGAACCCGAGGGGTACCTCGCCACAGTTACTCAACAACAACAGTGATCAGTGATGCAATAATGATGAAAAATATAGTAATGAATCATATTAAATTAAACCGAAGAATCTAGACTACAAGCCAACTTAAACCTTTTTAATATGTGAAAAAGACAACTAAAGTTATACTCAAATGAAATAAGTTGTAAAACATAAATGCACAGCACAATACCAACTAGAGCTGAAACAATTAATCGGCTTAATCGTGATTAATCGATGATTGAAATAATCTTCAACTAATTTAGTAATCGATTTATTGTAAACTGGAGTATAGAGCCCTTAAGCTGACAGAGTGACCTAATTTCAGCAGTAATTATATCAAAATTGTAAAAATAATATATAATAATTTTTAATTTAAGATAAACAACCTTTTTGTCTTTCAATATGTCCTATCCAGAACCCCTCAAGTGGAAAAACTTAGTTTCATCTGGTTTAATTTAGTAAAAAATCTCTTTAAGGAACATTTGGCCATCAGTTTATTTATCAATTAATCGAAAAAAATTATTGGCAGACGAATCGATTTGCAAAATAATCGTTAGTTGCAGCCCTGATACCAACCGATGAATATAATTTCTGTCTCCACAGCAACAATCAAACCACAACAGAATATACATCAAATGAAAGCAGACACTCAGTAGAATGGAGTCATGTGCTTCACTTTCCTCTAAACCAAAGTATTCTCTATTATAATCTCTATCGGAACAAAAAGCAAAACCTTTAGAGGGACCCTTACAGGTCTCAAGCATCCAGAAGTAGCCTCATCACACCAACAATCCAGGTGGCTGACCAGGCTAACAGACTGCCTTCAGCTGGCTCTGATTGGCTGAAACTACTGTCCATCTTTCCCGACTAGATTTAGATACGTTCTACTGCTTCTTTGATTATAGTATGATTTGTCAAAATCAACCATTTTGTTGGTTGAGTGGGAATACATTTTCTAATTGTTGTCCAAAACTTTTGGATTCAACTCTAGAAATGGATGAAAGAAATTTGCAGATGGGACTAACTGTGCCAAAATGGTTACCTTGGAAACCTCGTCTGAAACACATCTGTAATTCTGTTTAGCTTGACTTTAGCAGAGGAGGTCTTTGGAACAAACAATGTCAACATATTGTACTTTAGTTTCAAATATAGTAATGACTTCCTAAGAGCATAATTTAAAGAGTCGCTGATGCTGAAAATTGTTTTTCTTTCCAAGCGAGGCGTTAAATTTAGCTATGCCATCTTCATTTACTTTTCATCAGTAACACTTATACTCATTTTACACATCTCCATAAATCTCACAAGGGTTTTCTTTAATGTGACACCAAATCTATTAAATTAAACCTTGTGTTTTTAGATATTTCCCATGCCTTTAATTTCTAGAAAAATGTCTTTAAGTCAGTTAAACGTCTACTGAAAATGTCGCTGGATTTTAAAATGCAATTCCATCAAGTCTCTTTTCCAGGTAATGTTGTTTCTGCACTAAATCATTACAAGCACTAATAAAAAGTAACACGAGACGGGGGCGTTGAGCCTAGTTGGAAGGAATCCATTCAACATGTCAGACTGTCTTCCAGAATTTGCATCCATAGCACTGTAACTGCAGCAGTATCCTAACAAATATTGCAACTGAGCTGCTCTTTGTTGGTCTAGTCCTGCAGAATGATTCCACTTCCTGTTTTCAGTTTGTTTGACTTGTTTGCTTTGTTTTGTATTTACTTTTAATCACAAATGAACAAAAAAAAATCTCAATTTAAGGGGATGCAACGTGCAACTAATGTCACCTACCAAGCTCACCATGTGAGCCGAAACAAGCGGGGGCAGGTTGTGGGAACGCGTGGAGGCTTCAGAGGTTGCACCGTTTGGCTGACCGGTAGGAGAAAATAAATAAGCAAACATTACGGCCGATTGGAAACTTTTTGAGCCTTGCTACACTCCTACTGTGCTCCTCTACCTGTGCAGGTCTGTCTGGTGCGGGGAAGACCACGGTCAGCATGGCGCTGGAGGAATACCTCGTCTGTCACGGTATCCCCTGCTACACTCTGGATGGGGACAACATCCGCCAGGGGCTGAACAAAAACCTGGGTTTCAGCCCCGAGGACCGCGAGGAGAACATCAGGCGCATTGCTGAGGTGGCGCGGCTTTTTGCAGATGCAGGTCTGGTTTGCATCGCAAGCTTTATTTCCCCCTACAGCAGGGTGAGTAAACAAAGCTTCACCGTTTGAGAGAGGAAAGCAAACACACTTCTCATGCTCACTAACTGACTAACTGAATCTCATTGTTCAATTCTGGTAATAAATAAACGTTTCTGCATCTGTTTTTATTTCCCCGACAGGATCGCCTGAATGCCAGGAAGATCCATGAAGCTGCCGGGTTACCGTTCTTTGAGGTTTTTGTGGACGCGCCGCTGGACGTCTGTGAGCAGAGGGACGTTAAGGGGCTGTACAAGAAGGCCAGAGCAGGAGAGATAAGAGGTGCAGCATCAGCTTTCTTTCAGTTTAACCCATTAAATCATAATTCCACTGAAAACGCTGTATCTAAAGAGGAAACAAGGATGATCTCAGTAACTTGGACAATATAAAAAAAAAAAACAAACAAACATCTGTTTGATAAGTTGTATGTCTGTAACGGCCGGTTTGTCAAACCTGTAGGGTTTATTCTCTTAATATCAAACCTTGCTGTAGTTCCTGGCTGTGGATTTGTTTCACATGGTGAATGAAGCAGCATGATTAAGCATTTCTGAGAATTTCATCAGTCTGAACATCTGCTTATTAGCCAGACCATATGCTATAGTTTAAACCAAGGGTAACCAATTAAAAATGAGCGGAGTCCGAATAAGGAAAATCAACAACCAGTAAAGGTCCGAAGACATTTTTAATTATAATCTGGTACTTTAAACAGATTTTAACACTGAAATAAAATGAGTTTTTTAGGCCTCCATGTTATACATTAACTTTTTAAATAAAAAAATATAAAAAATAGAACATTTTCCACTTTGAAATCTGAACCGTTTTTTGAAGTTGAGAACAACAATCATTCAGTTTGGTATATAGACAATTTTCTGATTTGCATATTTAATAAAACACCTGAACTGACTGTTATTTTTTTTCTTTCTCTTTTATGCTTTAATGAGAGCAGTGGGCTTTAAGCTGCCCTGCAAGGCTTTAAACCTGGGTTTGAATGGAGACTAAGCCATTCTAAAGCACAAATCAAGGTGCTCATTACGAGCCTGGATCCATATTTATTTTTGATTCTGTTCATGGTGGAGAATCCTGCTTCACAGCAGCAGGTTGAGCCAAACATCTTCTAAATGTGCAGAATCATCTTTGAGCACCATTTCACTTTTCTGTCACTAGTTCACCACAGTTCTTCCAGCAGTCCACACTCTCTCTGCTCTCTTTTTCTCATCATCTTCTCCTTCTTTCCCATCGCCCGGCTTGCCACAGGTTTGCCTGCTGTGTCTAAAAGTAGCAGCAGCAGCAACCCAGACTGACAGCAGCTCATTGGCTAATCTGTATCACGTGTAGCCTGGTCCTAGATGCTCTGGAGGGCTTTAACATATTAACAGGAGAAGTGGCGCAAGTGAAGTTAGACACTGTCGTCGAATAACATGCGGTAATTTATAAATGTTTTAAATCAGGTTGGGTCTGGATTAGCCAGTAAGTGGGTCCGGACCCCAGTACGCTAATCCGTGACCTCTGGTTCAAACTATTACTTCAATTCAGCTCAGTTCAAAAATACTTTATTAATCCCAAAGCAAACTTAAATGCTGCGGTAACTTTTATTTTTTTTATTTTTTTTTATTTTTATTTTTTTTTTTAACAGGTTGTTGTAGGTGTTGATAGCTGTAGGCAGGAAGGATCTTCTGTAGTGGCCTGTGTTCCACCGGATCTATTGTTTAACAGACTGATGAAGAGGATGCTCACTGTTGTCTGCGATGTTCTTCACTTTAGGCAGAATTCTACTTTGTGAAATAATCTCCAGAGGTTCTAGAGGACTACATAGTAGTTCATTAATCAGTTAGATTCAGATTGTAGGGGGGATTTAGGTTTTTTTATTCAACCTTTTTCTTCCACGATTGTGAAGCACGTATGAGCAATACAGGTAAACATCGTGGCTAGAGCCAGGTCTTTTAATCAGTGGGCCGATTTTAGCGTCTGGCTCATTAATCGGCATCGGCCACAAAAAATAGCAGATATAAAAGTGTTGTTTTTAATGCAAACACCCTGTAAGCTCGCAATAAGGAGAGCAGACATGTTTTATCTGCACTAGTTTTGGTGAACTATTAGCATTTTAGCTCTGTGTATGTTTTAGCTCTTTGTGAAACAGTATTATATTGCAGATGACATGCAGGCAGTGGTGGAGCTCATAAATTCGGAAGTTAATGTTTTAATTGAGCACATTTTTAAAAGGCTCCACCTCATGCATATGGTTGTAATCCTGTTTGGATGTTTTGAAAGCTGCAGAATTTCTACTTAAGTCTAGTTTAGTTCCTTGTATCTGGCCCAGCTGAAATCTGTGCATTTTGATCTCTTTATAGATATGGCTGAAACTCAGAGAACCTCATGCTTCATCTTTTTGTTCCTTTGGTTTCATTAGAAGCATGTGGTTTTCCAACCTGGTCGTTTTTTAAGTCCGCTAAAACAAATAGCAGGAAGAACAACGTTTCTTGCAAAACGGAGGAGAAAACAAACAGACACAAAAACATTGTAATTCCATATGTCAGGAATGTCTGAGCAATTCCAAACACAACATACCGGTGAATGTTACACCCATTACAGACTACATGACAGGGTTGGAAGTTTCTGACAGATGCTTGCTTCTTTCCACGTTTTTTTCCCATGTTTTATTTCCCGTCGGAAGAAACCAGAAGAAATGGTTTCTACCGGAAAAAACTTGGAAGGTCAAATTTACGGGGAAGTTTGTTTCTTTTGGTGAATATTTTGCCTTCAGCAGGCCCAAATCCAGTAATAACCTTGAGGTGGGGTTTTATATCTATAAACCAGGGTGATTTGGGGGCATGAATAGCAGAAGAAATTAAAGAAAGAAAGCCAGCTGGTGGAATCAGCGTATAAATAAAAGCGCTTTCCTACCATGTGAGCAATAGTTATTCATTCATCTAGATTTGTATTACATACATGTCATAGATTATATGAATTCTTAATCTGTGTCACTGTATTCTGATAAGGAATTCTTCTTATGTAATCTAATGGGTAAAGTGAGTTGACTTTCCGATGGAATTATCCCAGTTCTCCATAATATGATCTATTACCAGGACTTTCTTCCTGTTTCTTCCACTTGTCCAGAAGAAACAGGAGAAGAAACTCAACCTTGCTACGTGTGATATTAGCATACGTAGCACTTAAAAGTCATTTATTTTCTCCAAAAACAACAGTGTGACCTGCAATCCTGATCGCTTTGTACTTGGATTAATTCTGGTTCTGCTAACTGACCTCAAAGCGATTTTGCTGTACATGGCTCTGTCATAATTTTTTACTTCCCCTTTGGTAGTAAAATCTATAAAGGCTACAGAACCTGCAGCATTAAGGCCAATTTATGCTTCTGACGCATAGCCTCTGCAATCGTCAAATCTGTCTCTGTTCGGGACCACACACCCCCACACAGAGGTTCTGCAACCTGTCAAATCCTGACTAAGCATCGGCCGGTCCAAGCACAGACCTCAAGCGGAAGTGCGCAGACAAAAGCAGCTGTGATTGGTCCTTGGTATGCCTTTCTGGCTGTCTGTGTGGTCGCCCTTCTCAATTTGGTGCCGGGGTGCGCCATTTTTCAAAAACCGAGGAAGAACTACAATGGACAACTGCGATGAAAGGTAAATCGAGGAGGTTAGGAAGTACAATCCGTCGAAGTTCTTGTGAGTTCTCGAATAGGCTCCCCCTAGCACTTTGGCAGGAAACTGCTGTGCGTCCCTAGAAATTCTAGACTGAAGGTGCAGAAGCATACCAGCAAAATTGGTTCACATCCAGACGCATGCAACATATGATGTGTGCGGTTTTAGATAATCTTCCCTTTACGGTAATAATATAATCTAACTGTTGGGATCATGAGGGAGTAATACCTACTGTGCTTCACCATAATGTTACAGCGCAGTCTTCAAACTAAAGGCAGTCAGACTGTGTCATCTCAGTTTTCAGTTTTAACTTAAATAGTAGCTGATCACTTTCTTAATCACATTTGCCTTCCTGAGGATCTCATAGACATTGTTTTAGGTATTTAACAGCCAACGGACATCTTTATTTTCTTAACCATGTATATATATTTTTTATGTTCTTGCCTTTTTGAAGCACTTTAGTCATTTTTATCTAAGAGGTGCTAATTGCAGAAAAAAAAGACATGCTAACTTTCTGAAGGAGGATCAAATCTGCATATTTCCGGGCTGAGCAGAACCCATCTGGAACATTTTGGTTCAACATGAAGATGCAGACGGAGCTCCCCGCCAACTTCTTCAAAGCACCAAATATTAGGCTCTCGTGTGAAGCAGTGATGTTTCTTATCTGTTTTTGGGTTGGAGAATGGCTGCTTTCATGAAGTGTGTTTAGTTTATAAGGATTTCTAAATTCTTGTTTGAATCTGGTTTCAGTTTGTGGTTTGCTGGTAAAATATTTGCATATCTGAACGTGTTGATGCTCCCACATCCCAGAGCAGATATCAGAAGTAAAGGATGATGATCAGGGTGTGAACTCAAAAGCTGTCTGGAACTTTTCTTTTAAATGGGCTCATTTTTTAAATTAATTTATTTTTTGTTCATGCAATTATCACACCTTTAAATCAATACAAATGTTTTCCTGTCCTAAACTTTATTCAGGAGTCTAAACTTCAGCTGTTTTGAAACCTTGGGTTACTTTTTCCTCTGATCTTGCTGTTTCTTTCCATAAAAGCTCATTCTTAAGTGAGATCTTTTTATTTTTTTCCACTTAAAATATGAACAGAATGAACAAAAAAAATTAACATTTGAATCTGGAAAAAATAGCACCCTAAATATTTGCTGTGAAACTGCATTTTAACTTAATTTTTCACCCCTTATATGATTTAATTATTCAAATGACCAGGTTATCAGTACAGTTTTTTGTATGGAATTCAGGGATATATACACAATTACCTTTAAAAAGCCTTGAAGAAAAAAAAAATCAACATCTTTAAGTGATTTATCTGATCAGCTCTACAATCGTTGTCGTTTTCTTTCTCAGGTTTCACCGGCATCGACTCCGAGTACGAGAAGCCTGAAGCTCCAGAGCTGGTGCTGAAGACTGACTCGTGCAACGTGAACGAGTGCATTCAGCAGCTGGTGGACCTGCTTCAGGAGCGGGTGAGGAGCTTGTTCTTTATTCTCTTAGAAGGTTCCTGCACCTTTTGTTTGAGAAACTGCAAGTGTGGAGATGGGAACGGTTGCTTTACCTGCTTATTTTTCTATATAAACAGTTTTTTTCATGCAGGCCGTGTTGAATCAAGTTATGTTTCCCAACAAGCTCTCTTAAGATGTACATTAAACCTTTGCATTTATTTGGTTTGATTTAAAATGATGTGATTTCCCTGAAAATCTGAATGTCATTACTGATCTTCCTTTAATGTAAATCAGTAGAAAAATGGCCAAACCTCTTTGGCTTAAAGCATCAAACATTGCAATTTACATTTTTGGCCAGTAGGTGTCAGAGAGGAACCATACTTTCATTTCTTCTAAATCCAAAACATTTCAGTTTCCATTATGAATATCCCAAACTTTCTGCATTCTGCAGGTTGCGTCACAATTAATTTTTTTGTTTAGGACATCGTTCCTGTTGATGCCTCCTACGAAGTGAAAGAGCTCTATGTCCAGGAGAATAAACTGGACCTGGCCAAGGCCGACGCAGAGACTCTTCCTGCAGTTCAGATCGGAAAGGTGATCTTTTTGTAGTCCGTCTTAATCTTTAGCATGCATGTTGGATTCTGACCAGCTGTATGTTTGCTCCTCAGCTGGACATGCAGTGGGTGCAGGTGCTGGCTGAAGGCTGGGCCACACCTCTGAATGGCTTTATGAGAGAGAGGGAGTTTCTGCAGTGTCTTCACTTCGACTGTCTGCTGGATGGTAAGAGAACCTACTTTTCCATATAATAAACAGCCACTAGATGGAGTCGATTGCATAAAGAATCAGTACATATGAAATATTAGAAATCCTCATTTGTCTTTTAAAATATAGAAAATGATCTCAGTATTTCCCAGGCTTCAATTGCTGATGTAGGTTCTCAGTCATCCAGGTCATAGTCATTCCATAAAAATTCAAAAAAATATCCACTGGACTTGGTTTCCAAGATTTGAAGACGTTTCGCCGCCTCTCCAGGAAGCTTTCTCAATTCAAATGTCTGGATCCGCAGTGAGTTTGAGTCCTATATAGACAAAGCCTTGTATCGCTTGGAAACATGCAAATGGTAACCGATGAATGGGTGGTTTGGTTCCATCGTTAGCCTGTAATATCAGGCTAATGACAGGTTTCAGATATATGCCTAATAAACACCCAAGAGAGCGTGCACAAGCCCATTTCCCGCTTTGTTTAAAAGTTAATGTTTGCATCGCTTATACAAGCTTACTTTCCAAAAGATTTGCAATCTTTCCACTATGTCAGACTCACCACCGCTAAGTGAAAATGGGGACGAGCACGTAAACATATCACCAGAATGATTGACAATTTGGAGGACTACTTATTTTGATGATCCACCCAGAAAAAGATCATACTTCACTATACCTTTTAGAATGAACAGTGCACAATGAACCTTGTGGACAGAGGTTGCATTACATCCCTGAAAGAAGTTTTTCTAAGCAGACACCAGTTAATCGGATGGAACAAATTTTAATTTAATTGTCTCACACTTAGTAAAATGCCCTTAGTAGAACAGACTGCTTACCCTTCACTAAGGTTGTTTGGTTAACAAAGGGAACTATTTTAAAACTATTACATAAGAACTAAAATGTAAAAGTAGCCTTGTTTTACTCTTTACTTACCCAACAGAGCCCCACCCTCAAGCAAAGGATTCGCTTTCCAATTTAACTTAATGGAAATAAAGTTTTAGGAAATTAATCTAATGTTGCAGCATAAAAAAAGGCAATAGGAAATCTGACGTCTGCTTCCGTTCCCCTCCTGGAGTGCCGTTTGTGTTAATCAACGGATCCGTTTCTTGCAGACCTCAAAGCTGTGGGTGAATAATCCCCAATACAAATGTTTCTCTTGGCATCCTTTCTTCTTCTTTTATTTCTGTCACTGTTTTACAATTACTGCTCCTCTCTCAGCCCTGAACAAGAACAGGTTTAATTAAATGAATAGAATAGTTTGCTGTGACCTTTGGTAGCTTTGTGTCATATTGACTGTTTTTA